GGGGAGTCGCGTCCCGAAAGCGGCGGCGGGTGGTCGCCGGCCCGTGGTCGGCACCAGCTCCGACTGCGACTCCGCTCAGCCCTTTAATTCATCCGGCCGTTCGTGTCCTCCTCCTCTCCTAGAAACGTGACTCCGCTCCGAGCGTCCTAAATATTGCTTCAAAAGGAGGGGAACCGCGGAATTCTGTGCTCCGAGCGTGAGCGCTCATTGGGTATTTCCCGTGTGTGCATGTGTATTTATATGTATATCATAGTACAGATGAGATGATTCGTTGACCGTGATTGCTGCTGTATTGGTGCTTGCTAAGTCTTTATTAGGGTTTCGTCATTGCTTGAAAGAAACCAGTCTCTTACCTGATTAAAAAATATATATATATATATGTACATATGAATAGATTGTTAGTCATAAACTTAAGTGCAGTCAGAATAGAGACTGTAGCTTTAAAAGAGATGTGTTAGTGACTTTAGGTACACCTGCAACACAGGTAGGGCAGGACTGGTTTCTAGGCAACTGTCAGGGGTGAAGAAAGGTGAGTTAAAACGCTTTTTTTTTCTTCTAGAGAACAAGTGTTCTGCAGAGTTTTAAGCTTTTATAGACCTGTAAGAATGCAATGGTATACGTTCATTGAGACCGAAACATATTAAGTTCACCACACCTAGCCTTGCTTTTTTTTTTTTTAAAAAAAAGCTGCTTTTCTTTCTTTGTATGTCTGTCGTTACGCAGTTTTAAGTGAAGTTTTATTTAAACAGTCCGAAGACCCACTAGGTACCCATTTCGGGAAATGACCAAAATAAAAGTTGGTTTCTTGTTAACATGCTGACTCTGATTGTCACCAGTATGTTATGTTATCAACCAAGCTCTTTTCCAGATATTAGGAAAGCTGAAGAGAAATACACATGGGCTTTAGCATGGACTTCAGATACTACTTTTCATTCCCCTTCACACAGGTTTGTTTTCAGCTGCGTTCCCGCGGCTCCTGGCTAACAGGTGATCGAGGTCTTGGACCAGCAGTTTATAAGCTTATGTATATTAGATTGTGAACTCCTACGGGCAGAAACTGTGCCTTGTAGAGCTTCTGTCTTACGCACCCTTGCACGTAGTCGATGGTCGATAAATAATTGCACGAGAGCATTTTACGTTTTAAAGCTCAGCAGGATCACACCGGCCGTCCCTGATAAGGGTTGCAGAGCATTTCTGTTTTTTTATGACTGTTAGGAAATGTCAGAATTATTCATATTTTGACACGGGTAGAATTACTATTTGAATAAATTGTTTTTTCTACATTCAGTTCACAAAAGGTACCGGTCACTCTTTCTTAGAGACTTAAAATTAGACTATGGACTTGAGTTTTTATGTGAAAACTCTTAACTGCTGCTTCTCAGAATTTGAACCAGATAATACTTGCCTTCTGCTAATACTGAATGGTAGCTTTTAAAAGCAAGTTGCTAAATTACAGGTACAATGTAACGTGCTGGAAACTGACCTGAATGTCTGCATACCATCAGGTTGCTTTAGGAAGGTGAGCAGAGGAGGGAGGAGGTGGTGCCAAAGGTAATTCCAGGAATTTGAATGTCACAGGCTCCCTCTACCAGAGAAACAACTCTGCTTTTAATCTTGGCAAATTTGAATGGGTGCTTCATCATCAGGATGCCCGTAGCATCCTTTGGTGCTGGTGTTTGGCCATGCTTTATAGAAGCTAATGAATAACTCTCTAGATAAACAAAATCCAATTGTAGTATTCTGGCATTGTTAGCACAGTAGAAACACATGCTTTGTGAGGACAGATAAGATTGGGGAGTCTCAGGGTTCTGAGTGTAAGTTTAATAGAGACCTCAGTTTTAAGGTAGAGAAGAGTTAGTGTGGGATTCGGACTTCAGAAAGGAAACAAAAGATTCCGCGAGTCAGTCATTGTGGTTACTTTAATCCAACTCCTTGTACCGTGAAATTGAGCAGTGTCACTAAAGGGCCAATCTTCCAGGCCTCAGTGAGTATATTTTTAAAATATGGGGCTCTGGCTACATGAATTAGACCTCTTCAATTCCAACGTGCCAGGATTCAGCAAAACATTACAGTTTAACAGAGGAAATGGTAGAAGACTGTCCTATAGCTCGTATTAAAAGCCCACGGAATAGGAAACTCAGTGAGTTACAGGTTGTCTTAAAAATACTACTCCCTGTGCATGGAGCGCTGTTCCCCTAACTTCCCACGGCCGCGTCTTTTCCACCCTTTGGAGAGTCACCTCGGAGAGGCCTTCCCTTACCACCCGTGTAAATACGTTCTCCTCCTTCTCTTCTTAGTTCCCTGCTCATTTCCCTCGAAGCTAAACCACAGTCTGGAACAGTTCGCTTGCTTCCCGGTGTCCCTTCCTCACGCAGCAGCCACGTCTCTGTCACCGAGCATGGTATCTAGTCCCGAATAAGCACTGGATAACTTGGCGGAGGTGACCAGTCCTTTCCTCTAAGAGTCTGGGCGATCAGCACTGAGGTGAGTTCCTGTTTTTCTCCGCCGTCGATGAATGTTTAGGTCTTGAGCATTTATCTCGCTTAGCCGTCCACAAAGCCTCAGTTTCCCCATTTATTGATAAACAGGAATGGTAGGAGGAGAAACGAGGTGCTTGTCTAAACTTGAAGACCCGACGGAAGGGCGAGGCAGTGAGTGGGGGTCGGGGGTGCTGGCATATCGGGCGGAAGAGCTGGGATGGCCTTGAACCGGAGGTTTCACCTCGCTTCATCTGCCAAACGGAGGTTACGGTCCCTGCGTCCTCTTACGGGGCTGTCCCGGGGATCGAGTGAGAGCATGTGTCAGAAAGTGCTTCGCGAAGATATCGGTGATGCCCTCACTGGGGTCCGTGCTGCGAGAGTGTTAAGGGGGGCCTGTCGGTAGGCGGAGTGACCCCCATTCCGGGTACGGACAGACCTGCGTTAGATCAGATAGGAGATTGCAGTGGACGCGCCGCAGTGGGCGTCGGTGTAGCATTGGACACTGACGGCTTCACAGCAAGTGTCTGAAATAGTCATGGGGTGTAAAAGTAGTACTTTCACCCACCCTTTTTAGAGGCTACAAAGGCCAGATCTGCAACTAATAACTGTTACGGGAGAATTTGAGGGAGTCGAAGTAAAGCAGAAACTTGCGTGGGCTAAGGGTTACTCAAGATGCAAAGCCCCAGAAAGCCCGCCTGAGCCCCCCCGCCCCAAAATCTGAGCATTGCAGTGGGTCATATCTTACCCCGGGTTTAACTGCCTGAGGGGCTTGAAGAGGCAACGAGAGGCTGTGACAAGCGGGCTCCCTGGTTGAAGTCGCGGCCCCACCACTGGGCCTCGACCAAGTTACTTAACTGTGCCTCCAGCTCCTCATCCGTAAACGGGGGTGATAGCCCATTCACGGGGCCGTGGGGAGCATTAAATAAGTTAATACACATAAAGCGCTTAGAACAATGCCTGTCGGATAAGTGTCTGATGAATTAGTTATTATTCTTACTGGTTTTACGTTTATTATAACAATCTAAGAGTCGCCCATCGGGTGACTTAAACACTCGTTAAGTAAATTTGAAGTTTTAAAGACTCGCTTCCCATCATTAGGCCATTGTGTTTGCTGTCATTAAAGTTAGGATAGAATTCACCTCTCTTTTACAATTAGGAACCTATTACGTGAGTCTAAAAGGAATATTTTCCACCCCCTGTGTGTGTGTGGCCGCTGGTTGTAGCGCTTTGTAGGAAGAGCTCACAGGACACACTGTCTCTGCTGTCGCACTGAAATCTTGCGGGAGAAAAGCGAATCGCGAGACCAGTATGGCAGCCCCGCGAGAAGGGTTGTGTTCGCTCGCCATTTCTTAAAACACTTAGCGAGAAAACATTCAGAACTAGTCAGGAAATTATGTCACTCAGCTTTGATCTTGACGATCAGAAGAGAAATTCTCTTCCGTGCTGCCTCAGTTTCTGTCACGTGCCGAGCACGTTGAGGGGCCAGGGCCGGCGCTGCCGGAGGGCGGGCAGCGTGGGGGGCAGCGTGGGGGGCAGCTCGCGGGGCGGGGGGCGGTGCACCGCGGCGGGCCGCGCTTCCGTCTTCCCTGACACCGCCGAAGTCCTGAATTCGTGCAAGACTATTTTCATTATATTTTATTACCATAACGTAAAAATACTTTAAGTCGCCTATGCTTTTAACGCAAAGGCCGTTTACGCTTCCCGCGGTGGCAGGGCACAGTGAAGGACGCAGCGT